TATAAGACATGGAGTATGTATTGCATAAATAAATAAACTGCAAACATATGTACTTTTGACCGATACATGATTGCCAGATCAAAATGGAATTGATAAAATCTGCAAAACATAGCTTTTACAGCATACCTCTAATAAGGTTTTCGTCCAACCGCCAATTGTCACCGCATTATTTGATTGTCGACAATTCTTATGTGCATTTATTTGTTTTTTTGACTTCTTTTTTCACTCTGCTAATAGTATGCTCTTTCAAAGTTCGAAACTGCCACCTGTCAACATTGTTTTGCCGCGCGTAAGACTGTCATCATTGCTTCGTGATTCACGCCTCCTCGTGTTTCATGTCCCTTTAATATTGTCGTCCAACTCCCTCTTCATCCAACAGACTACTTCTCCTTCACCCTTTCCAGTAGCCTAATAAATCCAAACCATTAATTTTGCCTCCCATCCAACGGTTATAATTCTCTCCCCTTCTACTATAAATAACCCTATTTATCATCCTTCGCATGAGCACTCCGGCGGAATACCAAAGATTGGTGAGCTCGAAGGATGTGATCACCTCGGCACCTAGGCACCTGGCACAAAGGGTTTTGCCGAGGGAACCAGGGTGTAGAGGTAGTTCCGTCATTAAGTTATGAGAATGTTGGCAACGTTAAGAAGTCTGAAGATTCGGAGATATTTGACCTAATTAAGAGATAGATATCAGAGAGACGTATTGTCCAACAAGAAGTCTTCAACCTAGGCGTAACCTCAACTATAAAAGGGGCACATGTTCATTATTTTTACACAACAAACATACACGCGCGAATTTACTTCCTCGACAGATTTCTGATGAATGTTGGGTTGACTTGATCGTCGGAGTGTTTTCCGTCGGGACCTCTCCTGCTGTTTTCTGGTTGTCGGAGACATCAAGGCGGTTCAAACCAGCCAGGCGCAGTTCATCGCGGTCGAGGTACAATTTGTTCAACAATCGTCCTATTTAGTAATTAGTAAAAATTATGTAATTTATTTAAAATTAATTTTTATTAATTACTAACAATTAAGTAAATGATTTGCATAAAATTTAATGTTATTAATTAATAAATCATTTCTTTTTTTTTTTATTGCAAGTGAAAATATTTTTTTAAATCTTGATTTGTAATCATCCAACATGCACTAAAATATTATATTTATCACCGATAAATCAAAATAAATCTCATATAAAAGATTTCCAATATCACATGCCATCAATGTGTTAGAGGTATGCTGTAAAAGCTCAGTTTTGAAGACTCTAGCAATTCCATTTTGATCTGGTCATCATATTTCAATCAAAGTACATATGCTTGCAGTTTATTTATTTATGCAATCATACTCCTTGCCTTACATTGAGATAGTGTGGTTCGAAGTGTTTCGAACAGAAAGATCACCTATCGGTTCTTTGTAAAACTAAACTTGTAACACCCCATTTTAATTTTACAGAAATTTCGGACTTTCCAAAAATCAGTACAAATTTTTCGAGATCATTTTTGAAATTTAATGGGTGTTAAACAACATTTTTCATAACCCAAGTCTTATCTGGGCCCACGTGGATTCATTACCCGGT